GCTCGGTTCATTCCTCGTTTTCTTCCTATTCTCATGAACATGTCAGTGAGAAAAGGTAGTGAAAGTAAATACAAACTTAAAGGGATAGAAAGATATATGTTTCACTTGACACATCCACATCGAAAATAGTTTTGGCATCCACTACAGAGAAAAGGACTTGAATTCCAATTTTCTTTACCATTTCACGTTTTTTGATCGGAATTTCGCTACTATATCTTCGATTACTTTCTACGCATTGAATATTGCTGAAATGGTTTCGTACCTTTGAAGCTTCCCAAGGTTATCGTTCGAAATTTACGGGTGTGAGGTGTGACGGCCGCGCTCGCAAAAGCGCCCTTGTCCCACGCGGTGCAAAAACCCAAAACGCGCGATGTCGTCAACGTGTTAAGCTGTTGCTCAAGTCTCATTACCATTTGCCCTTCGTGTTCGTCGTTGGGAGCGTCTTCGTGATCACTGTCTCTCATGAATATGTCCCGTCGGCACCCTCATTTTCTGCCTCAAAATTTTCCTCCTCGTCGGGCTCTTCGACTTCTGCTTCAACGAATTCTTCTCCCGCGTCTGCTTCTTTATCCGTCTCGACATCTTGCTCATCAACTCCTTCCATAAAGTGTGCATTGCCCTCGATAATATCATTTTCTTCCGCGAACTCCTCGGATTTCCTCGTCGCCGCTTCCTTGATGTACAACATTAAGTTGCAGATGGCCGTGGCTTGGGGAGAGGGTTTCGGTCTTTATTGTACTCATTACGGAGTCTTTCGATTCCGTGATGAGTTGCTCAAGGTAGGCGAGCTTATTGCGCATTTCCCTCTCGAATGTAAGGGCATCTTTGTCTTTCGCAGTTTGGGCTTCCATGCGCACGTTACTAAGGGTGGAATGGAGAGAGCTAAGCGTTTGCAAGTGGTCAGAAATAACGTGTTCTATCATGGATAAATCCATCAAAAGCGTCATAGCTTCGTTTATCTCCTGTGGTTGGCGCATTAGGGATTCCCAGAATTCTCGTGACATCTTTCCTAACGCAATGAGTAAAGGAGGAACTGAATAAAGAGTGCGCAATTGTGATCTACAGTAAAGAAACTGAAGACGCAGGTGATCAACTTCTAAATTCAACAAATCAATCTCAAGAATACGTTCCTGAAAAGGCTTAGAGGAGAGGCATGATTGACGGACTTTCTTTTCCAAAACAGTGACAGCTTGTGTGCAAGTATGTTACAAGGGGTGGCGCAAAAAAAAGAGACACTTGACCACTCCACATTTCAGACAGCATTAATCACACTTTGCTAGAATCAAATCGACTGCCCAACTCATTATTGAAGAGCACCTTCTAATCTATCTAAACCTTATACGACAGCCTTCTACACCGACGACATCAGAAGATTTTCCCACGGAAATATAGTTCGCGATACGAGCTCAACGGGGTCGTCGAGGTACCATAGACCATTACGACGTCCCTGAAACGATGGTCAAAAGTGGTTTTGCATAGTCACAGCTAATGTCTCGAAGAAGCTATTTAATCGTCAATCCATTGAAGAAATCGTGAAGGTTGTTACAGCAGTTATATGCAGGGCTAGAGGCGCTTTACTGGTAAGACGAACTCAGTTCGAGCATCTGTCGACGGTGGCTGTAGATGACGCTCATAAATTCTGCAGAGACGTGCGGGGAAACAGGCGAATGGTATATTCTTACTGCTTTCTGCTCACGGGGAACACCTACTAAGTGAGAATATTGACGATCCTGTAATGAAGAATAGGTTACTCACTATACTATGCGGTCATCTTCTGAGAGCTGACGAAATTATGTTCTATCGTTGAAGTGCGGCCATGGGCACAGTGGTCTTTTTTTTTGGCGCACCCCTAAGCACAGTAACAACTTTCCCACTGGAGATAATCCTAATCCTGTGGAACTTGATATAAACATGTCACTTTGTGAGAAGCGTTTGGCTTTCGCGCACAGGTGGCCTAGGCACTAACGAAAAATGTATTGCTTGCTAAATCAAATGCTACTGCGACGAGAATCGCTAGTTTTTAAGCCGGAAATCGCTATCTTTCTGAAACCAATACTCTTCGGAGAAATAAAGTCATCACTAACTTGAAAGGTGGGATTCGAGACAAGGATGATGCTTGGCCGACATAACCATAGTCACATATTTAGACACTGTAGAATGAACGCTACGATTATGGATTGGATTTAGTGTTTACTATCTAATCTGAGCGAAAAGGATAAATAGGAATATTCGTGACGCTCTTTAGAAGTAAGAGCAAGCTACTTATCACAAACACGTGGAGAGCGAATTTCCGCCTTTGTGTATGAGAGGGAGACAAAAGAAAGAGAAAAGAAATTCTGAAATTTTTCATACTAATGCCATTCTAGAGAGCTAACTTAATGTCAAGAGGTAGCACGTGTTAATCAGGCCTGTCCCAGCAGGAATCGTGTCGAAATATTGTATGCCTCTGACGGTAGTTACCTACAAAGATTTGTACGGCTGGACGATGGATGAGATCGTGGCAAAGATAGGAAAGAAAAATAATTGCACATTTTGTGGTGTCTTCCGTCGGCAAGCTCTGGACCGGTAGGTTCTTCTAAGTCAATTTTTGTGACATATGTTCAACTTTAATTATACCGATTCGCTCTAGTGGTGCTCATAAAATCGGCGCGTCTAAGTTGGTGACTGGTCAATGCGCCGGGGCTTATCCGAAAAAATCCAGTCACTTTAGTGCGTTTTTTCAAGAACATGGTAACTTTGATAACCGTTGAGACGCGATGATATTGGCGGAAAACCAGTGCTGATAGAACATACTTACGGTGGCCGATGTTGCGAGACTCAGAACTTCAACGTGTTCACGAGCGCACTCCGACTGGCCAAACGAAGGCGAACTTCCATCGAGATAAACGTTGAAGTTAGTTACAGTTTTTACAGTTTTCAGAACAAGAACGGCATTCGAGAGGTTTTTGGAGGTCAATGTTCAAAAAAAAAAAAATGTCTTTCTTACCACTAACGAATGGTAAGTGCGGTGGAATGTGCATTCCAAGGATAATTGAGGAGAAGCAATAAATAGAGGGAAAATACAAGGAGCACTGACCAGGGGCCATATTCAATCCCTCCCCCAGGGGAACGCATCCCCTCCTCTGATTCAATCCTTGGGGAATATAAAAAAGGGTTCCGGACCGCCATACCTTAGTGTTTTCATTTGCCAGACAATTAGAGCAGCGCGATCCCTCAAGGAAAAGAGTGCTTCAACAGTGGGAATACAGAGGTACGGCAGTCCTATGACGCAACCCTTTTCTGTCTCTCCCGAGGAATGAATCAGAGAGGGGGACGCATCCACCAGGGGAAAAAATCCTACTATATATAAGCGGCTAGCGTGTGTCTGTTGGTGTGTGTGTGTGTTTGACCGGAAATTCATAGCTCGAGTCACAGTAACGATAGCGCAGTGGTTCTTACATATGTTATAGGGGGTGGGATGGGGACACAAGTGGTACGTGATAGGAACTGATAACGACTGATAATAGCTGATAAGAGGGGCTAGAAAGCGAGCATCGCCAATTTCGTTTTGCCGTTCATATTGGTAAAAGAGCGTCTATACTTACAAGTGTTATGTGGGGCGGTCCCGGGACATTGGTGGTACATGATTGGAAGCGATAGCAACTGATAATGGCTGATAAGATGCGCTAGAACGCAAAAGTCGTCGATTCCGTTGCCTGGCTCGCGTTGACACCAGAGCAACCATACTTACAAGTGTTATGTGGGGTGGGACGGGGACATTGTTGGTGGGTGCCAGAAACTGATAACGATTGATAAGGGCCGATAAGGCGCGCCAGAACGCCGCAGTTGTCGATTCCGTTACGCAGCGTTGACACTGGAGCGTTCCTTCCTACAAATTGTGTGCTTTATTGATAGGATTCGACTGCATAAATCTAAACTTCAGCAAATGATAAGCTTCATTTCTGACGCACTATCAAGAAAACCCAAATTCATTAAACCGCCATTCCATTCGGGCTTCTAAATAATGGTGAATGTAAATGGATGATAAGCATCAGCTCCTCACTTATGTAAAGAGGCATATTTCAATTTCATTTTGAGACTGACGACAGGAAAATCCTATTCACCGCTTAATTATCTTATTTCAAGAAAAATGCTGGATGTTTACAGAGTTGCGATCAATATACCAGTTCAGCTCCAGACGTTATCACGCGTATTCTCGATGAGCTTCAGTGAAACTGTGGAGGGTCTAACACAGTCAATAGTGAGATGGTTAATGGAGTATCTCATGCCGATATTCCATGGGTCTCCGTTTCGCAAAAGCCTGCACTTGAGGCCGGACTATGTGCGCGAGAGCAAGGGCATAGCCCCGCAGGCTTTTTCGCAAATAGCCTGCCGGGCTATGCGCGGCGATAGGCGGCGAAGCAAAAACTGTTGATTTTATACAGGACTGCGCCAGTATTTACGGCAATTTGCGTCACATTAATCTCGATTATGCAGCAGACTTAGATAACCGTAGAAGTGCCAGCATTAGCTATAGGCCCAATGGTACATTGATCCGGCAGTCGAGAATCCCGAATACGGATTTTGCCCAAGGCACTTATTCTCTCCTGGAAATCGGTCAATTGGTACCAAATTGGAAAGACAAAAGTGTTACTTGTACATCGGCAAGTCGGCGTATAGACCTGTCAACAATTTAGAGGGGAAGGATATTTGAAGGAATTCGATCCCGACAGATTTCTCGGCGTCGAGATCGAATTGGTGGGTTGTTTTGTTAGGAAATCATATAAGAAGTGTAATGAGGAACGTCAATGAGGAGAAAAAGCAAAAAGCACCGTAGAAAACATTGAAATTTCCTTTGTGACGTCGGTCGTGGTAGGACGGAGACATACAGCGCTGGGAGGGGAAATGTGAGGGAGCACGTCGTACGCGAGAGGGCGTAGACGCCACTTATCCTGCGGTTAAAGTATGGCAGCACGACAACACACAAACGAGGCCCCCTTGGCACAGTGTTTATTCACTTTGATCGTGACTGCGTGGCGCCTCCTGCGCTTGGGGACCCTTCTTACTTCTGTCCTGAGTAGTGGTTCAACTAATCCGGACACGTGCCTTCAGGTGCCACAGCTACAGCGAGATGGAAGTAGAAATTGCGGCGTATTTGAAAGATGGATAAGTTCCAGCCGAAAGCGTTATACCATAGCCTTTTTATTATTTCCAGTAGCGAGTATTTATAGCAATTAGAGATTATCACATTGAGTAGAACGAATATTAAAATATCCTTCTATTTTATAAAGCGCTAACTTTGTGTGTCGGTTTGTGTATCTGTATGTGTGTGTGTGTGTGCGTGTGTGTGTATGTATGTATGTATGTGTGTCCGTCCGCAAAATGAAGTGAGTGAGAAGGAAGCTCATGGGATAAACAAACCGCTAACAAATCGGGTAGCTTACAGGATTTGAGATATCAATGTTTTGTAGCAGGGAAGTTGTGATTAGT